CACAAGTCCGCATCTTGTACAGCAATTAACCACTAAGAAGAATATATGCAGTGTATTATTTGTTGAAACTGTACTTCCGATTTGATTTGAAAAAATAAGAATAAAAATAAATAAAGTAGCCTCTTAGGAATTAAAAAAAAAAAAGAAAAAGAAAAAGAGGGAGTCAGGGCAACTCTTAAGTTTTGAATTTGAGCATTAGTGTAGGTACTTTTTAAAATATACCAGCAGACCAATAAATGTCAATAATTTTCATACTGGGCTGGAGAGATGGCTCAGTGGTCTAAAGCACCTACTTGAAACAAGCTCGGCAAAGCACAGGGACCGCGGTTCAATCCCCCAGCACCACATGCAGCCAGCCCCGCCCCCTGGTGGGCTGAGCTGGCCACACACACACACACAATAAATAAATGTAATAAATAAAAATAAATAAATAATTTTAAAAAATAATAATAATTTTCATACTATCTTTAGAGTCAGCAAGTTTTTATTTTGTAAAACGTAAGTATTTCATAAGTTCTACTTACTAGTTCTACCATTTTTGAAATTAATATTATTGGTACATTTTAGGTATATATAATGATCATATTCACTATAGGGAATTTGTACCTAGACATGATATAACTTAATCTTTTCTTTTTTCCTATTACCCTACCGTACCAAATTCCACAATTTTTTAAAAAAATCTTTAAATATTTTCTTTTTTTTTTTTTTGGCGGAACCGGGAATTGAACTCAGGCCCTTGCGCTTGCCAGGGAAGCTCTTATTCTACTGAGCCATCTCTCCAGCCCCAAAATTTTCAAGTAAAAAGGATATAACAAAATAAAGGACAGTCTTCAGGAGAAGGCACTTCGTAACCTTAAAGTGACTTCTTTATCCATAATATGCTACATGAATAGACATAAACAACATTAGCTTATCTATTTCTTCTTTTACCACTGACATAAGAACCTCCCAATAATCTCATACCAGTACAAGGATCAGCATTTTGGAACTTCCTGTCTACTTCCCTTTTGAGGATTTTGGCTATGTACTCAGGAGTATGCAGACTATGTATGCAGGAGTTTAGTACCAGAAAAAAGTGGAGACTTTTTTCTTAACATAAGAGCAATTTGTTTAAATGCTAATGTCAAGAAAATAGAAGAAGAAGATGTAAGAAAAAAAGGCTGGAATCCAAATGACAAGTGGAACTGGATTTAAGAGGAGCAGCCAGGCATGCTGGTGCATGCCTGTAAGCCTACTACTTTGGGTAGCTGAGGCAGGAGGTTTGAAAATCTGAGCTCAGTCTGCAATTTAGGGGCTTGGCAAGACTTTGTCTAAAAATAAACAAAAAAGGCTCTTTCCCATCTTGCAAGATGGTGGGTGAAAAAACTGAGAAGGCAAACACAAAAGAAGAAACCCAAAGCCAAGAAGGCTTCTTCCAGTGGCACTGGTAAAAAGGGTAAGGTGAAGGCAAAAAAGTCCAAGAAGGGATAGCCCCACTGTAGCCAAAATCCTGTCCTGGTTAGAGGAATTGGTAGATACTCTTGATCTGCTATGTATTCCAGAAAGACTTTGTACAAGAGAAAGTACACAGCTGCTAAATCAAAGGTTGAGAAGAAAAAGTAGAAAGTTCTTGTCACTATCACAAAACCAGTTGGTGGTGACAAGAATGGTGGTACCCAGGTGGTTAGAATGCCTAGATACCACCCTACTAAAGAAGTGCCCCAAAAGCTCTTGACCCACGGCAAGAAACCCTTCAGTCAGCATGTGAGGGAACTTCAAGCTAGCATCACTCTTGGCACCAACATGATCATCCTTACCAGGCATCACAAAGGCAACAGAGTGGTCTTCCTTAAGCAGTTGGCCAGTGGCTTGCTACTTGTGATTGGGCCTCTTATCCTTATCTGTGTTCCGCTACAAAAAACACACCAGAAATTTGTCATTGCTACCTCTACAAAAATTTGTATCAGCAAAGTGAAAATCCCCAAACACCTCACTGATGCTTCAAGAAGAAGTTGCAGAAAAAGTAGAAATACAGCAGTAGAAAGACCTCTCAGACACCAGGAGGGCAAGATTTTTGGCACCAAGAAAGAGAGATAGCAGATTTCAGAGCAGCATAAAGTGGATCAGAAAGCTGTGGACTCACAGACTTTAGCAAAAATCAAAGCTGTTCCTCAGCTCCGGGGCTACCTGTGGTCCATTTTTGCTCTGACAAATGAAATTTATCCTCATAAATTAGTGTTCTAATTTTCTTACTAAGAACATAATTAAATAACTGATACATTTTCAAAAACAAACAAAAAAGGATTGTGATGTACTTTAGTGTGAATCCTGCATGTAGTCCCCAACACAATAGGTAGGTAGCTAGTTAGGTAGCTAGGGAGGTAGGTGTGTACCACTATAGGAGAATTATAAAAGGAAGAGTATAGAGCTATATAGAATTGGTGGCAGAGAATTAAGGTAATTTCCTTGTGAAATTTGTATTTTCTCCATTAAGAAAATAAGGCAAAAAGCCAATCTAAGGTCAAGGGAAGAAATGGTAGATAAAAATTTTGAGATTATTTTTGAAAAGGGAGAGATAAGGTACTGGAGGATCATGAATTGTTACAGAGTATTGAGATTAGATTGTCATGGATATTTTCACATTTTTATTAATACTTGTAAATGTTTGCAATTCATGCAGTTTACAGTCATCATGGGAGTGATCACATGGACATATCATGCTTGTTTCATTTTTTCCATAATTTTATTGATAAATAGCAATGAGACAGTTTCAAATCAAATTGGTAGGACAGTTTCAATAATTAACACATTGCATACATTCTTCCTAGTGGTTAATCGCTGTACAAGATGCGGACATGATATCCTATTTACAAACACCTTTAGAACAAATCATTCTAGTCATTAAGAGAATGTAACTATATATCTATCCTAGCCACTTTGAATACACAGATACAAAATGGACATACATCTGTATCCCCTTTTTTGGTTAAGTTCCATTATTTGAACTTGTTTCATTTTGTTATCATCTTCCCAGCCCCTCCTCCTTCCCCATTGGTTTCCCTATCTCTTTTTTCATACTTGTTGATACTATTTATCTTATAACTCATGTTATGGCATGTAGTATTTACATTAATTGGGGTTGTTAGAGTCCTATACATTGTGTACCTTTATTCTTATTTCCCTTTCTCCTTTTCTTCACTTTTTAAAATATATTTATTTATTTATTTGATACAGTGTCTCACTATGCAGCTTAGATTCATGGTGACCCTCCTGCTTTCAGCCTCTCCAGTGCTGAAATCACAGGCATGCACTACCACACCCAGTTCTGGGTCTCAGGGTTCCAGGGCCAGCACAGCATGTGGTACCCAAAATCGAATCCAGGTTCTTGTACTTGCCAGGCTGGCACTTAGATTGCTAAGCTATCTCCACAGCCCTTTTCTCATTTTCTGACCTCTTTCCTATTGCAAGAGATCCATCCTCTTGTCCTTTTCTATTCATATTATATATTTTCTTTGTACTTTGCCTTATACAGATGAGAGATACCATATGGTATTTCAGTTTGTGTGTCTGATTTATTTCACTCAACATTACATTACCTAGGTGTATCTATTTTGGCACAAATGTCTCAAATGTGTCATTCTTTATAGCTGAGTAGTATTCTATTATATATGGACACCACAGTTTGTTCATCCAGTCAAATGATGATGGGGAAATAGGCCGCTTCCAGGATAAAGCTATTACAAATTGCGCTGTTATAGACATTGGTATCCAAGTATTGCTGCAGTATGATG